CAAGCTGGAATCAGAAGGAACTTCTGACAACTGAGTAATTTGAGACTACTGCCTCTTTGTTGAATGTCTTTAGAGAAATTATTAAGGGAAGACAGACAGACAGAAGCGTGACATTACACACAGTGTGATTGCAGGGTTTTTTTATGTAGGAAACAAGGTTACAAAACAGATCTTGGGAGAAAGGCCGAATTAATTCCTTTGAGAATACTTTCTGGATAGGAAACTATATGAAAATGGTTAAATGTTGCAATTGTGCGATGTGATTTTATTATTACTATGATTATTATTTTCCATGTGGTAACATCTATAGGCTTCTATGAAGACGTAGGCTTCCTTGTCTTTACATCTTCAGACACACTGAATTTACAATTTAAGTATCTGAGAGATGAAGAGAGGAAAAAAATGTTATCACGGGGATCAAAGACGGAGACAGATTGTGAGATGACCCTCCGTGGTCAGATATGAAATCTGTGGCAGCTAAGAACTCAGTCTGTTTCTCCAGTCCTAGGAGTTGGTAGCACTCCCAGCACCATACATCGCTTAGCATCACATAGGTCAGTCTTGCAATGCTATGTGTGCCTTTCGCTCCATGTTAAACCTCCAGCAAACCTTCTTCCACTGAAGCTTTTGATGTATTTAGTTTATTACATGTATCTTTGTGTTGCAATTCAGACCTAAATTTGTTTTAGTCTTAAGTTTAAAGGTTCCAGCTGACATAAAGCACATTGATTTTGGGGAAGATTTATGGAATAATGTCAGATGCCACTATTTTAAAAAATGTTACTGCCTTGAAAAAGTGAATTTCTTGTTTCTTTGTTTAGTAATGTATTCAGAGCACTTGAAAGGAAGTTTTGGAATAAGGATATTTCTACCCTGGAGGGGGGTAGTATCCTGTGCTTTCATTAGGTCATATCAGGCCATTGTTTTGCTTTTCTTATCATAAAGATCTTGTGTCTTTAATCGTGCTCAGCTGTGGACTTGAGTTTCCTGGAAGAGAGTGAAATAATTAAGAAATAATACTACAAAATCATATGTTCTCTGTTTGTAGATATGTTTGTTTAGTTGAAGGTAGTTCTGATCTGTAGTTATGTATAGTAATAGGTGGTATAGATCCATACCAGTAATAAGTGGTATTTTATATCTGCGGTTCCCATTATGGCTGAAAAGAACTAGGATTATTCTGTGTCAAAAAACATTGACTGAGCGATTCAGGGTCACCTGTCAAATAGTCAGTAAAGCTGCGGTCTCTTGATCCCTGCTGGTTTTCACCCCTAAATGCCAGCTGAGGTTCTCAGCTGCTTTGTCTCTACTAGTGGATTACAGGATGGCAGGGCATGGGAAAGGGCACGTTTAATTTATCGCTGTAGATGCAGCCACTGGGGAGGACAGTTAGGTACACAGGGTGGTTTATCAGCAGAAGTCATTAAAGTAGGGTGATTAATGTGGTGCCAGAGAAGGCCATGCAGTGTGTTGTGCTTGCACTTAAAATCTGTGAACTACTACACAAGGTCACGCAGACTCAATACAGTCCTGGTGAGAAGAGTTGCAGGAGGAAGAAGGGCACTGCCAGCCAAAATTGAGAGCTTATATTGCTGTGCAGTTTTGTCACGTGATGGAGGAACACTTCTTTAATAATTTGCTAATGGGATGGAGAGAACCTTTCTGTTTTGCCTGGTAAGTCTGGCTTGGTTCTGATGTGACAGAGCTGAGATATTAGTATGAGTGATGTGAACAATAGCTTTCCTGGTCACAGTCTGGGATGCATGTGGCTGCTTTGTAAATAAGCAGAATTTCTAGCACTAACAGTGAGATGCCTTTCCCAGGCACTAAATTTATAGCTATAAAGAAAGAGGCATGAGAGGCAAGGCTTGTTAAGTTTCATATGCATGGGATTCTTGCTTTGAAATGTATTATTCCACTTCCTCCAAGTCTTCCTTGGAGAAACAATTTGGATTTACTATGCATTTTACCATTGATTTTTCAGTTGTCATTATCTGCTTCTAGATTTTGGTCATAGTTTGTGTTTACTTTTATTCTCTGACACCACCTCTCTGCTTGCAGGCTGTACTGTGATGTGTAGGTTGTGTTCCATGTAGAGAAGGCAGCAGAAGTCTTGGTAGGTATTGGTAGAAGAGCAGGGGTGCTGTGGGTGACCCCATAAAACACATGATAGATGCGCAGCAGTTGACAGATGTGGCAGCCTGCCTGATTAGCACAGAAACTGCCTCCTGCACAGACCTCGTTTTTCCAACCAAGGACCAACATGCTCTCTTATAAACAAAAGTAAATAAATTGCACCTAAGGTATTGTAGTCTTTCAAGGGGACAGATCTGACTGAGAGAAAATGGAGAAAAAGGTCCTGGCAGACATTGTACTCTGAGGCTCTCTTCTTCACATAAGTGGTAACAGCAGAAAGAGATGAGGCTGCACAACCATATGAATAAATGTGCAGAATCTGAAACTTGCACTTCTGGCTCGTCTATCACATACCATCTTTTTATAGTGTGAGATGAAATGTCCAGCTCCAAGTTTCAGCTGCCCTCAGCAGATGTGTCATTACCTTCTGTCTCAGTGCACGGACTCAATCTCACCCTGAAAAATAAGATTTTACCTTCCACTTACCCTTCTGGAGACAGCTTGTCAGAGCAACATGGTACCGCAAATTTATCCTGCCTAATGTCTGCTAATTAAATTCATTTTTGAATATAGTACTAAGCCAATTTAATTCTGTCTTTCAGAGCCTGCAGAGACAGTTGTGACTCTCAGATGGGTTTCTGTCTCTGATTAGTGGTCAAATCTCTTTGTGCTTTTCGAGACTGACTCACTGTCTGTCTTTTTCTATGTGTCTCTCACCTGTACTTGGGATGTTAGGGAATGGGGTGTTTTTTCCTGTGCTTTTATATCCCTAACATCTACTGTCCCATTTGACAACATTGTCTGTTTAATGACTTTTGTTTCGTTACTATCACTGGAATAGAAATGGAAATTACTGTGAAATTCTCCTGGTGTTAGATCTTGATTTCAGAGATTGTTATTCAAAAGCATTCATCTTTGGAGGAAATGGGTATTGAAGTGACCTTCAAACTCTGAGCTCATATACCTGCCTCTGAATGATCATCCACATCACAGTCCAAGTCACAGTCTAAGTGCAACAGCCTCCAGTAATGTTTACTGCCTGTCACTCTCAATATATTTTGTGATCACAAACATTCATGAAAATAAGGGGCAGAATTAAAAAAAAAAAAAGATATTAGTCAAAAAAAGAGTAAGGTCAAAGCAAGTTATAGAGTGACAATACACTTGATTAATTAAGTAGTGCTGGTAGAATCTATCATACCAAGGATGATCTAACAGCATTTTTTAATTTGAAATGCTCTCTGTTCAGGTCGTCAAAAAAATTAAAAATAAAAACAGTTCATTTGGCGATTTTCATGGGGTTTTTTTCTGTGCAGCTCTGGTATGTCCCTCACTCCCTTTGTGCAGCTTTGTGCCAGGCAGTGCCTTCAACTTCCTGTTTCTAAATTCCCCAATGCTGGTGGATGGCAGGTTATTGTGCATCACTGTGGAACCTCCTGCTGCAGTTTACCCCCTGTTTGCAGCTGCATTTTTCTTCTCTCATTCTCTTCCTGCTTGCCCTCCCACTTGTTGATATGACTTATTTGTGTTTGGACCTTAAAAATGCGCAACTGAATTGTTGTTATCAGCAATGTAGTTCCCAGTTATTGAGAAACTGTTGCTTATATTCCTTCCAGAGTATATCTGGAGTGTATGGGGAGACATGGTTTGAGAAGAAACTTGCATCAGCATTGTGCACCATGCTTGTTCTGTACAGAGGGAAGGGCTTCAGTCTGCATGGGTGTCAGTCTGATATATTTTACAGGCAGTTAATTCCTCCATCCATTTTTTGTATTGCATAGTAAAATATGCAAGTGCAGGTGTGTCTGTAATGTAGCTTCTGATGCCAGAGAGAGAACTAAATACCAGCTTTCTCACCTTTACTGAAATAATGCTGAAGTTGTAAAACAGAAAAACAGGTGCCAGGAAAGTAATACTTGGGACTTCAATTTATTGATGGCTATTAACGGGTATATTTTTTTGAAATGAGAAGCTAGAGTTTTTCATAAAATTCATAATCAAATATATTCTATTGTATGTATCTGGGGAGTTTTTGAGGCATAATACCTCCTGACCTGATTTTAGTAAATGACTCAATGCTTGTATATAATCGATCCAAGCATTTGGTTTAGCTACTTGTCCATTTCATAAATCCTTGTTCATTTTTCAAATAAGCAAATAGTATATATTGAAAGTGGAGAAAGAATTGCTAAAACTCCAAGAAGTCCTAGAGCACAGCAGTGCTTTTATAGGTACTTTCTAAATACCTGTTTGTTAGGCCTCTGTAGCTCTGTTGGTGTGACTATGCTGTGTGCATTGATATAAATATTTATAATACAAAAAATTGCATATTTGCTTCTTCAGTGCTGTACTTTTTTGTAAGAAAGGAGTTCTTCAGGGTGAGAGAGTAACTTATCTGTAGTTTAGTATGTATAAATGCAGTTTTAGGATTGTCTTAAGACCTGTAGACTTAGTTTTAAGAAGTGATGGCACACATATGTGGAATTATTAGGACCAAAAATTTCATTTCAGCTTCCATTATTTTTTCTTATGCGTAATACTGCATTTCCTTAAGACATTGCTTTTGAAAATGAAGGTCTTATATGATAGCGCTGGAGATTACCACTGTCTAGCTATAGAAAATGAATGGTTTGGACAGGAACTGTGTGTATTTTCTTACCATTCTCTCTTTCTGTAGAGACTATATTGATTTGTATGTTTAGTTCCCAGTCTTTCTCCCACTAAGATTTTAAGTGCTGGGTCCCCAATGTACTCCTGTTAACACTAATTATTTCCATAATTTCCAGAACCACATCCTTAAATACCTCCCATATAATTTTCATTTTCAGATTTCACAACAGCTTCCATGCTTCTGTTTCACCTAGAATGACTTTACCTTTGCCTTAAACAGGTGCTCCTAGGACTTGTGATTTTTAAGTGTATTTTTGGGACTTTAGTGTTTGTTTTTCACCAAAGATAAGGCACTAGGAAGTCTCTGCCAGAAAGATCTTGAAATTTGTCAGGGTCGTGAGTAATTATATCAGCTCTTATCAGTTGCTCCTTAATGCTTCCTGCTCCACCAGAAGTGGTTTGTTTTGAGCAGTTTTGGCTTTCTCCTATATGATCTCTGAGATCTCTCCATCTCAACTGTGAGCAGAGGGGCAGTAAAGCTCTGAAATGGGGCATGACTTGTGACCTTGAAAATCTAGACCATGGCTTTGACCTGACCAAGGAAGAGGATAAACACTCAGTGAAGCAATATGAGAAAAATGGAATCAGATAGAGAATTACAAACTAATTTCCTGCAGGACACTGAACAGCAAGAAGCCAATGGTAGCTGGTGACAGCTACTGATGTGAATTAGGTTTGGACTGATTCACTAGAGATGAAAGACTGTGTTTCACTTGGTTCCATGTGTTGCTGTATATTTCTGTTCATTATGTAGCTCCTTGGTGGTCATTCTTTTCAGTTCATGGGGTGATTTAGGACTTCAAAATGAAAGTATTCATGACAGCATTTGTTTTCCAATAGTACTGTTAACAGGCAGCAAGAAAAAAAGAAGGAAAAATGTTTAAATAAATTATTCACTGAAAAGTTCTGGTAGTTTGCAAGGTAAATGATTAGGTGCAGTCATTAGCAGTAGATTAATTAAATTACTCCAAATAAATCTACAAGAGAAAAAGAATGTGTTGCACATCTTACTGGATTTTTCTGTTGAAGACAGTTGGCCATGTTTATCCTTCTGTGGAGAGGACACTACAAATGATTTCCCTGGGAAGGAAGTTTCTTTCTAAGCCTTCAATGGGTTGAAAACAAATTGCTTTTGTAGGTAAAACAGAGTTATTAGGAAACAGAATTTACACAGTTCAATAGAACAGATCTATCTGACACGGTCCCCAGCCCATCCTGTGGTGCAGCCCTGCCATCCTTCTTTTGCTCCATCTTCCCTGTGTCAACCAACACTGGATTCACACACATCAGACCTCCATGAGTTTCCCGGTGACCATCTGTTGCTTGAGCAGTCAGAGGTGGCTGTCAGTGAAAGAGAAGGAACTCCTGCTGCAGTTACAGGATGAAGGCAAGTGAATGAATGAGACAGTGCCTCATCCTCAGCCAGCCTATTCCGACAGGGAGGGACCGGGCTCTTCCCGATGAAAGGGAGTGCAGATGAAATCCTGGCAATGGAGTATGGCAGAGCCCTGTGCCTTCTGCCAACCAGAGCTGCCTCTGGGCACTGCTGGCAGTCACTGCTCCACTGTTTTCCTCACTACTGCTAGGTCCCATGCTTTTGCTCAGCAACTCACCTCAGTGTCTGGCATTTAAGTATGGGTATCCTGAAACATATGTGTGCTACTCTATTCTGATTGTGTTTGTCTACTTGTATTTATACTGTTTCAGAGCAGGCAAACATTAGATATTACATTTTAGCATCATACCTATGGGCAGTGCACCCTTCACTCATAGTTTTTTGTTGTTGTTTTGTACCGTGGAGTATGTGCTGTGTAACTTAGTCTTACATGGTTTTACACTTGTTACTGAAGATGAAATACAGAGTATAGGAGACACTGACTTGCTTAGGTGGCAGCAAATGAAGATGTACATGGTGCTAGTGAACAGCAGGGTGTTGTGGCTGGTCAGTGAAGCTTAATAAAGGCAAGAGCCAAGCCTCTTTGGAGGTACAAAGAGTCAAAGAAGCATTAGAGTAATTTAAAAAATTTAAACTGTGGCTAAAATCTGAAACCATAATTTCTTGAAAATTCTTTGTTATTTACTAGACTTTCCTCTTGAAAACCCCATCATAGGATGAAGTGCAGCTTGTAGAGCAGCAGGAAGATCAGCTTCTGTTTGGGGAGGCTTGACTGAAAAAGATAAGGCCCCCAGCTTTATCTCTTACATGACTTTTTATCTCTGTGGGTGTGTCTGTACCTGCATGTGTTGGTATATTTCTGAGTATTCTGTAAGTCGTATTACTCACATTTTCAAAATCAAGAGAACACAACTAATCTGACTTTTGTATCAATAGCTGTGTTTTACAACTTCATCTACATCCTCGTGCTTCGCAGCATGAGTCAATACAATTAACAAGTAAGAGTTTCTTAATTCTTATTTCAAACACTTATTTATGGGGATGCACAGTCCAAACGAGTTTTCTGTATGTAATGCTGTAGAGTTTTAGGTTACCTGAACCTACATTTCTTTCAATCAGTTGTGATTTTGCCTATAGTTTTACTAAGAAAAAACTTTTTCAACTCTTAAACTGGAAGGTTCGTTTGTTTGCTGCAGTGCGTCTTGTCATTGGAGACAATGCTGCTAGTACAAACTCATTTTCCGTATCTATATTGGTTACCTACCAAAATATTTAAAACCAAACTCACTCAGCAAGTGATTTGAAATTATCAAATGATTATAAATAAGGTGATTGTAGTCACTGCTTTCTTAAGACCCCTTGATTTCAAGGGAATAGTTCACAAGAGAGCTCCAGTGTTGCTTCTTCTTCCAAACCAGTGATTTTCAATGTTAAGGGGAAAAAAAAAAAAAAAGAAAAAAAAAAGGAAAGGTAAAACCAAACTGGCAACGCACTGGTGAAAGGAATTACATGCTTTCCAAGGACTTGACAAATGGGAAATCTGAAATTCTGTATCTGTCAACCAGACAGTAACAGCTTCTGCTTTATCATTGAAAACTAGTTTTCACTGCTTTTGATAGCATGCCTGAAATCTGGTCTGGAGCAGTGGGCCAAAGTAGTTTGGTTACATCAGGGCGCTTTTGCTTGCCAGTGTGAATGGCAAAATGTCTTCTGTGAGCCTGGAAAGAGCACAGACCCTGTTAATGCACAGGAGGAATATCTGAAAATGCCCAAATGTATTAGCAGAGCTTGATGTAAACCTCTGAATATGATAAACTTACTATCTGGATTTGTTATCTTTTCAGGTGGGACCTTCTTCTGACATGTGATCTACAGTGAGCTACTCTGAATCGTACAATGACAATGTTATCACTGCCACATCTCTGGGAACCAGTTGTTCATAAGTATACGGTATGTGAACGTCTGCATCTTACATTAACCATCGCTTGTTGGAACAACACAGAAACAATAACATGAAGGTGCTAAAAGTCATTGAAGTAAATGTTAAGCCACATGTACAATCAGTTACACTGAGCTGTTCCAGCAGATGTTTATCTGTTAGGCCTGGTCTGTACGCAAAAGAGTGAACTGTTTCAACATGTATTTGTTTACAGATATTGGTAGAAACATTCTACCGATGTTTCCTTTGGATGAAGTTATACTGGTACAGTGATGATATGTAGATACAGAGAAGATTATTCTCTTCCTCAAGCAGAAGGGGGTGGTAACAATAGCGTGAATGGATCTATACTTTAACTGTTTTGCTGTGCTTACAGCAGTACTGTTTTTTGTGTTTAGGAAGGGTCTTTAATTGCTTTCCTCCTTCATTCCATTTTCAGTTTATGGTCAGTCTGAATTAGATTAATTTCACACACCAGTGAATCCCTAAAGAAGTGTAAATTAACTCAGTTTTACCAAACTCAGCCAGATGATGGCAGTTATTCCCTTGATGTTTATCTTTACATCACCCACCATATTTGACCAAGATTTCAATAGGAATTAAATCCATATATTGAGCCTTTTTTCCTCACCCTGTGTAGGAAAATAGAGACTGAGATCCACATCTGGTTAAGTGAGGCTGTTCGGTTTATGGCCTACGAGGCCAAAAATCTAAAGTCACTGATAGCTGGCATGTTTTTCTTTTCTACTGTTCTGGCTTGAAATTGTTGACACACACTCAGGTCCTTTTAAACCATGGCAAAATGTTATTATGAGAGTGGGTACATCATTGTTTTATGTTCTAAAGCAGTTCATAGCACACCACATAGCCATTAGTGTGGAGCATCTTCATCTGATTTATGGCCCCAGTGCAACTCCCACTGAAGCTGGTGGAAAAAAAGTTTTTTCATGCTGATGGGAGTTGGATTGCACTCCACGTAACACCTGAGACTACTGTTAAAGTAATGTTCTCTGCATGGATTTCTTTTTACCGATTAGCCATTTCTTAGAGATTAAGTATTAAAGATACAAACGTAAAACAGAATTACAAGGAAATGGATAGACAAAATAACCAGAAGAGGGCTCAATTATTGAAATACTTGTCTAACTTCCAAAGTTAAAAAGTGATGAGGGGACATGACTGTTTGCTCCAAAAGTATATATCTGCGTTTAACACATTGTATTTTTAGATGCAATTTTGAAGACAATGTTTGTCAGAAATATGGATGATCTGCTCCTACAGCTGTGATCTGAGAGAGGGAAAGCAAGATAAAAGTCTTACAGGGAGCAGGAGGAGAAAGATCATGCTTCACTGATCGATGTAGTGTGCTTTGGGAGAGCAGTTCACAACTTGGGTAACCTGTGCTGGATGACAAAGGTTTCCAAATCTGGCTGGACAGTTTGAAGAGAAGCTCCCAGAGGCGACACTGAAGTGAGAGAGCTTTGCATGTGCTTATGCTAACAGGGGTTCTAGCATGCCTTTGTATCCACCCTCAGTAGTCTGTGCTGGCCAAATATCATTAATGTGACCCTTTGCAGACCTTTTGTATTTGTTCAGATGTCTCCTCTGTCATCCCTATCTAAGCACCTTTTCAGGAGGGATATAGGATTAAGAATCTCTCTTGCTCCTGTTTCTTGTGAGTTGATTAATTTTTAAAGATTCAGAATTATTTTTTGGTGTGTGTTTCTGTAAAGAAGTTGTTTTGGCGGGTGTGTGAGCATTGGTAAAAGAAAACTGGTTTGAAGAGGATGAGTTTCATGTCCTGCAGGGGCAGAGGTCTGGAAGGGACCCAGCGGACCAGCTGGTCTGCTTTTCTGCCATCACAGGTATGAAAAGCATGAATGCATCTTGGTTGACATTTTCATTTTTCTGGTGGAATGCAGCTTTTTGCCTGTGGAGAGGACCTCTCAGAGAGCTGAGGGCAGGTGGTGGGGAGAGGTGCCTGTCAGAATGGTGACTGCTTGCAGATCTCCATGTTCCCTAGGCACAAAGAACAAGTGGCCATCTCGCAGCTGTGCTCTTAATAAACTGTAGGGCAAGGGATGCTGTGTCTCGCACCTTGTGAAGTTTCTGATACACAGTAATAACCTTCAAGGATTTGCCATCTACCCAAATCAAAATGAAATTTCCTTTGACCAGTGAACACAGCAGTCAGAAGGAAGTGAAGGTTTTCATGTTTGTGTTTCCTTTTGGGTGTTATTTTGGTTTTCCTCTTTTGCCATTTCTCATATAGCATTGCAAACATTTCAGGAAACTAATCTACAGGAGCACAGCTCATAAAAGATCGACCTGCCAGAGGACAGGGCTCTGCTTATTACAGAAAAGCTTCTGAGACAGTGACAGCTGAAAAGATTACACACTTCCACAGGAAATTAAATTTGATGTAATATAGTGAAAGAATGACAAAATGGAAAGGGTATATATAACCTATTTGTGATTATTAAGCGGTAGAAAAATGAAAACTTGAGATCCAATAAAGTGCATGTAATTTAGATATGGATACAAAATTCCCAATAGGTTTTTGAAGATTTGGCCCTCCACCTTGCTTTGCCTTCTCTCAGTGTTATTATTTCAATGTGGAACATCGTTAATGTCTCAGAATCATAGAATGGCTTGGGTTAGAAGGGACCTTTAGAGATCATCTAGTTCCAACCTCCCTGCCATGGGAAGGGACACTTTCCACTCAACCAGGTTGCTCAGAGCACCATCCAGCCTGGCCTTGAACATTTCCAGTGATGGGACATCCACAGCTGCTCTCGGCAACCTGTTCCGGTGTTTTGTAAAATTATGTTAACTTCTGGGCACGTTAGATTATAAGGCATTTAAATCAAGTTTCAGAGCAGTCCTATGGTATCCAATTAGATTTCATTCTTCAGCAGAAGGTGCATATGTGACACCAGACTGGGAATGAGAGGCAAGAGCTTCCTTCTTTGCTCTGTCCTTTTCCCATGTTGACGTGCAGTGCTGACAGAGGGAGAAGCTTTTCTTCCCTCTCTGCCGATGTCCCTTGCTGAGGCACAGGCTGGTGCTCCATGGTGTGTGAATGTCCTATCCCTGTCCCAGTCGCCGACCAGAGGCTGGTGTTGCAGGTGTGGTAGGGACCCACTGGGGACTGTTCAGGTGACATTCTTGGTTGGTACCAAGGTCTTTTCTGTTCACCCAAGGCACAGGGCAGGTGATGTCTCCTCTTCCTCTCTCACCTGACCAGGTGCTTCACAGCAAAACAAAGGTTTTCTTTCAAAGGAGACGGTAAAAACTTGCAACACTTCAATAATTTTTTCTATAAGATCTGGTTACCTGCAGTTGGAAAGAATAAGTAGGACCCTGGCAGATTTAACTTTATTAACCATCATAAATCCTTTCCTTTTTGACTCTAATCAGTCCCTGGAGTCCTTTTAATGCCCTTGACATTGCACTGGCCTTTCATCACAGCACAATATACATTTTCCTGTAACTAGAAAACTGATGGTGAGAGCCTTTCGTAAACCTGAGGTACTGGACTCAGCAATGGGGACGTGTGACTGTCAGACGCTTGCTGACAATGAAGGGAGGGGAGGGAACTTATGCTGCCAGCACAGCTCTTCCCTCAGTGGAGGGCAGAAGAGGGAATCTGAAAGCACAGGCACTCACACAGTCTCATGTGCACCCGTTAATACCTGGGAACAGGGGACCAGCCACTTTGCTCTGGCCCAGACAGACAGACAGAGAGACAGCAGTGCTTTTGTGTTTTATGCTGGCAAGTAGGGGGGTGCCAGAGGCCAATCCTGTCTCAGAAAGCTCCTCTATGAGCAGCCCCCGGCCTACATCCCCAGGGCAGTGAGTGGCTGGAGCTTGCCAGTGGCCAGCATGCTGGCCCAGCCACCAGGAACTGGGAGCCAGGAGTGGCACAGGATGGAGGCACTGGGTGAATGGGTCTTTTCTGTGCTGGAGACAACACTAAAAGGAAGGAGTGTTACCAGGTGGTCGAGGGGCAGGCACTAAAGCAACAAATACTGCGTTCATAAAATCACTACCTGGGTTATTGCCTCTCTGTCCAGCCTGCACACAAAATCCTCCGGAAACCAAAAGGGGAATTCCCTGGTCGGTAGTCTATCTGTCTCTCTGCTGTCCAGGAATTCATGGGAAGGAGAAGGCATCCCAAGAATCTGCCCCAGTGTGCAGGGACAGTAAATTCCCTCTTGTTTTTTCATATATACAAGTCAGCAAGTTTCTTCAGCAAATGCTTTAATTTTAAGCCTAATACTATGCAAATATTTAACTTGGGACAAAAGTTGGCTTCAGACCATGGACTAGCTTCCAGCTGTTTCTGCAGGTACAGATCCAGTGTTTATGTACATGGATGACTATTTGTTAATTTATTTATTTATTTACTATGGTAATCTTTTTATAATGAACTTGGATATTTGTGTACCCAGTTTTTGCTTTGAACATAAAAATCTATGTATTTGCAATTTGTGTACAGGCATTTTCAGAAGATTTGGCAAAAGGCTCAGATCTGCTGAAGATAATCACTGCAGGCTAAATCTTTAGGATGACACAGAATTGTACTGACTATTTTTTTCTCTAACTGAAGTGCCCAAAGCTATGCTCAGCACTGATAGCCCACCAGCCTAAGCTATGAAAAAAAGGTGTTGAAAGATTTGGTGCCTGCTGCAGGGGCTTTATGCTGTAACTTGTCCAGTCAAATGAGTAGAAAAGAATATTCAGAAGGAGCGTCAAGAGCTTTAGCAATAAATATGTTAACGAGGTTTCAGAAAATCTGCTTAAGTGCTATCTTGAAATATAATACTTTTCTGTATCCACATATATTTCATATCCATATGCTTTCTGCAGCCCTTGTCTCAGCTGCTGCATGCCTGCAAACAGCCTCTTATTAAAAAGAGGAAGACCATAGTCTTGTGGACCTTCTATAATATGCTCAGCATGTGGGCTATTGACTTCATGAAAACGAGAACAGCTGTGTCAAATGTGTTTCCTTTGCGTGTGGTAAGATAGAAAACGCAAACTGTGTGAAGACGAGCAGGCAAGAAAGACACTGAATGCCTTAAATACTAAGGGAGTTAATGCTATGCAGTGATTTTGCTTCTGTTATAGGAAGTGTAAGAACAGTATGCTTCCTGGCGTACATCACCATCCAAACTGCAAAGGTTTCAGTTCCATGGCAACACGAAGAGCCTGACTGTGCTGAAGGTGTATGTATTAATGCGTTCAGAGTGAGGGGTTGGGAGTGAGCTGGGGGAAAATAAAACATGCCAAAATATTTCCCGTTTATTTATTTATGTATAAATAAAGCCTTTGTTCTCAGAAAATCAAACTGACACGAATACACCTGCCACTCTTCTCCCCCCCCCCAGTGCTCTCTGATTCTTTTTTACATAAGGTTTTCTCAGGCAAAAAGCAAATGAAGAGGCTGTTAAGGTTTTTTTACAAGACTGTAAGTGCAGCAGCACTTGAATGTTGCAAGAAAATGCTATTAATTCCTGAGACAGCTGTATGTCCCTGGAGAGAAAGACTTGGAATGGGGGTGGGGGGGCATGTTGTTTCCAAGATGTACTGCTTTACAGAGCAAAGTGAAGCAGTGGTTGGTTGGTTTTTGCTTCTTTGGTGTTTTATTATTATTATTATTATTTTCCTTGATCTTTTTGATCTTTCTGCCTTTCTCTACATCTACATCCAGTTTCCTCACCTCCTCTGGCTGAGGAGCAGGAAACAAGACTTTTAGCTCTGTTTCCTGACATCTAAAGAAATATAAAAGTACAAGGAAACAGTGTATTTTGTTTTGCCAGCCAACTTGGATTCACAGACCTGCAGTAGAAAGGCACCTGCTCCCAGTCAGGGTCAGGAGTCACCCTCCAGAACAACCCGGAAATCAGCCAGGGAGTAACTGAGAGCTGGTCATTATATGAATTTTGTTTGATCTGCTTGGTTGACTGCAGAAATGTAGGATGGGGGATTGTGACAGATGTATTTTGCTCAGGGTAAAGAACTACCTCAGGCTGATCCTGCCAGCTGTGCTGATGGGGGGATGAATTGCAGATATGCAAGGTTAAAAGTCAGACTGGACAGCAGGGGAACCTCCAGATGTTGGTATTTCTGAGGCTAACAGCAGTGCTAATGTGGCATGGTAAAGCTGACAGAAATGTCAAGTTGAACTGGATTTACAGCTGCTTTGCATTGCTAAAATAGTCAAAGCAGCCAGAAAATATCAGTGGATCTACTCTATAGATTTCAGCAAGGTTTCTCTAACTAGGGGAAGAATATAGCTCTGCAGTTGGAAGTTGCTGTGCAAGAGGAGAGGGGGAATAAAATTCATGTCTCTCTTAGTCTGTATTCTTTACTTCCTTTCTTTGTTTTTTTTTGGGTGTGGTTTTTTTTGCTTGTTTGCTTTGGGGGGAGGTTGCTTGTTTGTTTGTTTTAAGTTGCAGCAGGAATATATTTTTTCTTAAAAAAAAGGCTTGGTTCCATTGCAGTGGAAACCCTGTCTTTGAGATTCTACTTGGAGGAAATTTGTCCCTCTTAAGGAGACCAGTGCAATGTGGGTAAATCTTTTCTAAGGGAATAAATAGCATTAAAATGATGAAATGATGCTGTCTTGGCATCCCACAAAGGGGGGGATTTCACCCTCAAGGTAGCAGAGCTGCAAAGTAAGAAAGTGTCATTTTTAAAGCATCTTTTTCTTAGGGAGAGCAGCACTGGTAAGCTTAGGTCTCTTGTTAATGCTGCACTTGACACTCTCCCAATTTTTTTGTTGTTGTGGCTGCTGATTTCTGCACAGCTCCCCAAAACAAGAAAGCAGATGTAGCTCATTTAATACTAGCATATGCTACCCAAACTATGTGGTACCTTTATTTTCCTGACTTTTGACAAAGGAACTGTGCATGCAACCCTGAATGAAGAGAAGGAATCACTCCAGCCAACAACACAGTAAGGGAGGTGAAAGATTTCTGTGTAGGTGTCCCAACCTGATATAACCTTCCTAACAGGCCAGCTGCTATTTGTAAGCACCTTCCCAGGGGAGCACCTCATTCAGTTTGGCAGGAAGGATGAAGAGGAACATCAAAGAAAGAAGAAAAGGAGGAGAGAAATGAAGGATGGGAAGAGTGAGAAAACACAGCAAAGGTAGAAGGGCGATCAGAGAAACAACAGGGGCTGGGAAGAGCATAACACAGGAAAGAGATGTTGCTTTGGTGCCTATGAGGGAAAAGTTGTTTTTCAGATGTAATGTAGACAAAACCAAGCCAAACCAAAAAAAAAATAGAGCAAGAAAATTAAAATACATGAAATAGAAGAAGACATAAGGGGAGGAGAATTCTGATTGACATGAAGAAGAAAAAATACATAAAATACATGGATGAATTTCATACCCTGGTCCAACCAATTTTAAATAGTAGCTGCTAAGTTTATAGCATCAAGACCTTCTTGATGTGGAGGTTTGTGAGGAGCACTAGGGCCACACTGGGAGGCTTCTGCAGGCACCAGAATGTGTGGAATGGGTTTTGGAGGCAGATCTCTTCTGTGCACCATGGCTGGAAGTCTAAAGCCAGTATGAATATCCCCAAGAACAACTGCCCATTCTACATTTGAAGACTGACAGTTATAAAAATATGACCACTTCTCTCTGAAGGTATCTGAGGAAGGGCTCTTGCCATGCAGGCAGAGATAAGGACTCCCTCTAGATCCCTCTTCCAGTTATTCAAGCTATCTAGGCTACCAGAAATAAAGAGCTGAATGGAAATTTTTGTTCTGGCTGTGAAAAGAAGCTTTTGAATGAATTCTACATCAAATAATGAATGTCTTCTTTCCTCCTCCTCTCCACCTACCTTGTTCCTAAACATTACCATTTCATGTCACTTGAGCTAAGTTCGGTGTCAGACTCACAGGATCCTGCTGAAAAATACACCCCTCTTTTGTGGCAAGCCAGAGAAGATGAGAGGCCTGTGGTGTTTTTCCTTCTCAATCTCTGCTCTGCTGGGAAAAGCAGCTAAGGCTGTGTGAAGCTGTCTTCTTCCCACTCTCCTAAACTTCACTCCTAAAAGTGCTGCTCCCTCAACGGCTTTGCTGTTTCTCTGAAGGAGGCATGGTTTGGCCCACTTAGTGCCATCACTTCCCAGGAGATGTTTTCTCAGATTGTGGTGACTTTCATCATGATAGGAGGCTGAAGAAGATTGCTGCAGAACAAGTCATGGGCATTGCTAGCTGTGCCATTTGAAAATGGTTACTTAAGCATGAAAGAGAAGAAGAAGATCAGAAATTAAGAGATTTTAAACCCTGTCTCCAAACTTCCAAATCATTTCTGCCATTTCTGCTTCCTCTTTTCTGAACACTTGGGCTGTATTTGCATTATATTTTTAATCTTTTTTCCAGAACCACCAACGTGAGAAACATCCTTTCTCTGAAACAGGGAGTTTCGTGGGCAGTGGTACCAGTATGTGTTTTCCATGGCCCTTTTTCCCCTAGGACTTCTCAGCCACGTCATGTATCTTCCTGCCAGCAGGCAGGAGGCTTGAGGCTGCCCATCGGGGCTGAGGCTCGCACCCTGGCTCACCACCACGGTGGCTGTGCAACACCCAAGGGCTGAGCTTGGAGCATCAGTCTGGATTTCCTCCTCAGACCCAGCTACCAATTTTCTCCAGACTTTTTAGAATGTCATTACTGAAATGCAGTGAGGAGATAATGAATATGTGCAGAGGTGGAGAAATGTGCATTCAAAACAGTGGGTTTGTTATACAAGAAGGGGAATGGTTCTCTGGGCACTTTTGTCTGAGATTCTCTGCAGTGTGTGGTAGTATTTCATGGTAAAAGCATGGGGACATGAGCTTATCTGGAGACTGTAATAATTTTTCCTACTATAGAGAAAGCAAGTAATGAAGAGGCACAAGAAGGAAATGTTGGTGAAAACAGATCTTTTGACAATGACCACAGTCTTGCCACTTTTGATGGAGTGAGTAGGGACATTCCTGTATCTCACTGTAGTTATGCAGAAATGTGTTGGTACTTGCTTATTTTGATCAGTGCTGAAAAGCAGAAGCAAAAAATTGCATGTGGCCTTGGGGTACTGTAATACACCTGAAATCGAAGCCAGCTTGATGTAGAAATTATGAGAGCTGATGTTTGTGTAACCCTAAATCTCTCAACCTGTACCTGAATTTACTTCTCAGATGTTAGAGATAAATCACTCTTCCCACAATGCCATGTGAACAGGACAGCCATTTCTGCAAGACAGGAGGAGAGTTTTTTCCTTCTCTCATCCCAGTGTCCAGTCCAGCAATGAGGAATCAAATTTAACCCTCAGTTTCAGGCCCTGTGAGTCTTTAGTTCTTTTCCAGCAGCAAAACAATTACTTTTGATAGGTACACTAGTTGTTTTTTTAGTTTGCCTATAATCAGTTTTCTGAGAGGTTGCTTTGATGTGGGAGGAACTGAATTCTTTGGGTTCGAATATTTGCTGTTGACTCTCTTAGTCATTAAGAGGTGTTTTCCACATTAAGGTGCCTTTACTTTTAAGGGAAAATGTCACACATCTTCTGGTACCAGATACACAAAATGTGGGGTTCCCTAAAGAGGAACCATTTGTTGAGCTGCAGCACATAAGGCCAGGAAGGACCAAGACCAACCCAAGCATTGCCAGCCTCGTGGGGAGAGACTCAACAACCTCCCAGCCTCACCAGCCCCAGCACCTGAGAACCCACAGATGCTGGTTCCAGCTATAGACCTACATCCCTGCTGATATGCCTCCATGCTAAAAGATGTTCTTTTCCAAAAAGAACATGTCTTTTTTTTTTTTTTGTTATAAATTCCCTTGCCACCTTTTTGTATTTTCCAACTGGAGCTCTTCTAAGGCTCTCTGCCTCTGCAGTTCTTGTCTTTGTATAGGTTATTTTTGGAAACTGGGGAACCAGGAGGAGGCATGAAATTTAGGTGAGTTAACTGCGGAAGAAGTAGAAAATTCTTTCCCTTGATGTGCTCTTTCTTTCCTGTCTTTTCTTCTTGTGACCTCTGTGGTCCGACCCCCATTGCATCTCCATTCCAGGGCAAGCTGCGGCTGACCCTCTTTGTGCCCAGTGAGTGACTCCTTCCCACGAGGTGGTGTGCCGGTTTGCAAGCTGTGCTTGCTTGCCTCTTCATCCCTGCAGTGGCTGCCGTTTCTCTTCTGGTTTTCTGGGTCAGCCACTTGGCCAAAAAGTGGGTAGGTGGTCGAGCAGAGTTTTGGGAGCTGTGAAACACCGGTTGCACTTCGGAAGTTATGTACTTTAGGATAAATTCTTCTCTGTATGCAGAGAAGAATGCGTTTCCTTTATTGTTTCCTCAGTGGAGCAACTCTGTCCAGGTGGTTGGCTTTTTCTTGAAGTATCGGTATGTTTTTTACGTTAGAAGTGTTATATGCTGACTGCCAAACTTTGCAAGATAAAACAAATTCTTTGAAAGACTGGAGAATAGCAACTGAAAACTGACCTGGCAGGGAGACCAGGAGCTCACTTTTTGGTTCCAGTGCATGGGGCAGGTAGTGATGAGCATAGACCCCCAAAATGCCTGAGCTGTTCTGAACAGGGACAATCACTTCACATCCTTAATTTTCAACACCAAAATGTACAGAGAAATTTTCTATGAAGCAGCACCCAAGGACTTTCTTTATCCTGTCTATATTTTCTAAAATCATTAGTGCGTAGAAAGACATTGACCATACAGTAAGTCAGGCTGCCCTTTTGCTAACTGAGAGAGTATTCAAATAATTGAGATGCCTGTGATTGGCCATGAAAATTTGCTGATGTTTACCCTGCTGTCAGGTATTGAAGTCACACCATAATATTTATTGTGGGATCTTGCAATAGATTTTAAAATAGATTGACATCACAGTACAAAGTAGGAATTTTCCTCATTTTTGTCTTCAGTTATGAAAATGCTTAAATAGCAGTGTAGTGCAGCAAATGATAAACATTAAAAGCTGAGTTTATGTGTGCTGATAAAAGGAGGTTGGTAGAGAAGGAAGTAACTTGAGTTTGATAGGAATATGGTGAAAAGCAAAAGTAGGGGATGATTGTAGATTCAGAGCAGTAATATGCCAACTTTAAAGGATGGATTTGGGTCAGCAACATAATGAGGTGGTATTGAGGAAGATTTTAAATAAATAAATTTTTAAAATTATGATTCTATACAAGAAGCTGTACAACTGATGCAAAAAACCAGCCAGATATGGGAAGAATGAAATCAAAAGAACATGAAGTACTGTCTTTAAATATGTAGAAATGGAGGGAGTTTTACTACGATGCTATGGCAGAGATCAATTAAACTGTGCAGAATGGTTATGCAAAATGTTCCTGTAGGGAAATAGCAGTTTTCTGTAGATTCTAGGAAGGAGTACTGGCTTGCTGCTGGCAGTGATTTATTTCCATCCAGCCGTGATGCTTGTGTCTGGCACTCAATGAAATCTTCCAGGGTAAATTATTTATTTAATTCAGAATGGCCACAGTTGCTCCGAGACACTGGCAGCACAGCAGCAGGAAGTCTCTTAGAGATTGCCTCTAACTTCTTACAGATAGGCTGCTTATATATATACCTTAAATAATTAAAATCATAAATAAGTATATGTTGGCATTTTTGTTTATTAGCAACAGTTCATAATAATGAGTCCAATGAATGTATTACCATGCGTTGTAGATATCTAATTTCTTGATTAAATAACCCAGAGGCTTGTGCAGCGAGCTAAGACATCAGATTGTTGCTAACTGAACTTTTGAACTTTTCATAGGAAAAGGAGATGTCAGTAAGAGAAGAATCAAATTTATGAGTGTGTAAGCTTGAGCTACCCAAAACCTTTCATTTCAGTAAGCATTCCCTTAAGAACAAAGAGAGAAATCCCCCTCTTCTTATGCCAAGTCAGCAAGATAATGCTTTTTTCTTAGTTTAACATATTCCAGAGATAAGAGGTAGAGCTGGTGGTTTGAGGGAGTCCAAGAAGAGAGGAATTTGAGTATAACTAACAAGAGAAACTGTCATTTGAGCAGAAGTCCCTGAAGAGTCTCTACAAGATTTCATATTTTTATCTGTGCTGTTTAAAACAATAAAAAATGAAGCAATGTGATTTGGTAATTGTACTTTTTTCAATAAATTCGATTTTTAAGAATACTTTTTGAGTTTAATCCTTGCTTTCTTTGATTGTTGAGCAATAGGATAAAACCTGGCAAGAGGAAAAGAAGCCACCTCTTTTAGAGGAAACTGCTCATGGATTTAAACTATGTATTTTGACATGAAGAGAAAAAAATGAACAAGAGTTTCAAAAAATATCACAAATGGGCATTTCTGAAACATCAGACAAATTTTTTTGACAGACCTAATAAGCAAATCAACATAGAGCTAAATACACCTTTCGGGGTGATCTCCCTTTTTGACAAGCACTGGTGGTGGGGGCCAGCTGACAGGCTGCCTGCAGCCAAGGTGGGTCTCTCTCCTTTGCATAGGGTGGTTCCTTCCCCTCTCCTCCCCCTGCAAGGCCCTGCTGGCTCTCTGATGGTCCTTGCTGAAACTGTTGGCATCAATGTCTGAAGCATCTCTCAGTTTTGAAAGTTGGCTTTTCTTTTCCTTGGTCTGAATTCTCTAGCACTGCCAAAGCATTTGAGGAATGGTTTCCCACTGTCCTGGCTGTGGTTTCATGTCCCAGAGGGGCTGCTCCTGCTACCTGTCCTCTGCAGTTATTTGTCTAAGCCCACACTGGGCTGGTTTGGGCCACTGGGCAACCAGTGAGCTGTTGGGCAGCCAGGGGTTTCTGGTGGGTAAGAACCTTGGATTGGCTCCCCATGGGCAAGGGTAAACTCTAGAGCTGGCAGAAGCACACAGCTGGCATTGAGAGGAAGAAGCAAAGTGGCATCTTCCCCTCTTGGGTGGCAGCTCACTGCTGGACTGACCTTGCTGAAGCATGGAACTTCATCCTCAACAAGCAGATCAGGTCTTGCACATGTGAGGTTATTAACCCTTAAATATGATGTTACATTATCACAGTAATCAGGAATGGAGAAGGTAAAAGTGAAGACAGTGGAGTTTCCTATGCTACCCTTTTTCGCTCCACAATTTGTGGTGACCCCCAGTCACTCTTTCTGTTTCCCTTTCCAGATGGAATTAGAAATGGACATATGTTCTGAATTCTTTTTTTATTCATAGTACCTGTGAGTGATCAAAGATTGCTTTTGCAGATTTGCAATTAAGCATCAAACTGAAATAAATGTAATTTCAGAATAGTCTGTTTGCAGTCACTGTTTTTATTTTTGCTTTACAGTATCTTCGAGGTACTCCTAATTCTGTGCACTGGAGTTATAAAGTCATAAAATGGTTTGGGTTGCAAGGGACCTTTAAAGATCATCTAGATTCCAACCCCCCTGCCATGGGCACGGATACCTTCTACTAAACCAGGTTGCTCAGATCCCAATCTAACCTTGCCTTGAACACTTCCAGGGATGGGGCATCCATAGCTCCCCTGGGAAACCTGTTCTGCAGTGCCTCACCACCCTCACAGAAAAGAATTTCTTCCTCCTATCCAATCTAAGCCTACCCTC